GAAAGAAACAACCAGACAGAAAAGAATGAAGCAACAAGAATTCAAAAAAATGAGGAGAGGCTTAGGAACCTCCAGGACATCTGTAAACATTCCAACATCCGAATTATAGGAGTACCAGAAGGGGAAGAAAAAAAGCAACAACTGGAAAAGTTATTTGAACAAATAATAAAGGAGAACTTCCACAATCTGGCAAAGGAAATAGACTTCCAGGAAGTCTAGGAAGCTCAGACAGTCCCAAAGAAGTTGGATCCAAGGAGGAACACACCAAGGCACATCATAATTACATTAGCCAAGGTGAAAATGAAGGAGAGAATCCTAGAAGCAGCAAGAGATAAGGAGACAGTTACCTACAAAGGAGTTCCCATCAGACTGTCAGCTGAGTTCTCAAAAGAGACCTTACAGGCAAGAAGGGGCTGGAAAGAAGTATTCCAAATCATGAAAGGCAAGGACCTACATTCCAGATTGCTCTATCCAGCAAAGCTTTCATTTAGAATGGAAGGGCAGATAAAGTGCTTCTCAGATAGGGTCAAGTTCAAGGAGTTCATCATCACCAAGCCCTTATTTTATAAAATGTTAAAGGGACTTATATAAGAAAAAGAAGATAAAAAACATGTATAGTAAAATGACAGCAAACTTACAATTATTAACAACCACACCTAAAACAAAAACAATAGCAAACTAAGCAAACATCTAGAACAGGAACAGAATCACAGAAATGGAGATCACATGGAGGATTTGCAATAGGGGAGTGGGAGGAGGAGAGAAGGGGAAAAGGTACAGAGAATAAGTAGCATAAGTGGTAGGTGGAAAAATAGGGGGAGGTTAAGAATAGTATAGGAAATGCAGAAGCCAAAGAACTTCTATGTACCACCCATGGACATGAACTAAAGAAGGAGAATGTGGGTGGGAGAGGGTGGGCAGGACAGAGGGGAGTGAAAAGGGGGAAATGGAACAACTGTAATAGCAAAATCAATAAAATATATTTTTTAAAAAGGGGACAGAGCCTCAGAGAACTGCAGAACACCATCAAGCATACTACCATACGTAATGGAAATCTCAGAGGCAGAGGACAGAGAAAAAGGAGAGATAATATTTGAAGAAATGAGAGCCTAAGTTTTCCCCTAATTGTTTGAAAGACACACATTTATGGATAGCAGAAGCTTAGCACACACCAAACAAGATAAAGAGCTAACATGTGGCACCTTATGGTCAACCTTCAGAAAAACAAAGAGAAAGAAAAATCCTGAAAGCAGCCAGAGGAGAAAAATGACATATTAAAGATAGAGTTTATGCCCTGGCTGGTGTGGCTCAGTGGAATGAGCACTGGCCTGGGAACCAAAAGTTTGTCAGTTCGATTCCCAGACAGGGCACATACCTGGGTTACAGGCCAGGTCTTGGCTAGAGGCATGCAACAAGCAACCAGTTGATATATCTCTCACACATTGATATTTCTCTCCCTCTTTTTCTTGCTCCCTTCCCCTTTATCTATCAATAAATAAATTAATTAATTAAAAATGATAGAGTTCATTATGATTTGAATGTCTCTGTCTTTCTCATTAGAAAACATAGAGGCCAGCACAGTGAAAGGTCATCTTTAACATGCTGAAAGAAATACTTTATGAATCCAGAACCAGTGTGACATTAACTCCAAGTAAGTTGGAACAAGTTAAAGCTGTTTTTGTAATCTCAAGAGAACCATTAAAAAAAAAAAAAGAAAAGAGGTGTATAGCTAAAATGCAGCTGACAAATTAAAATGTCATTTTATGCATTTAAGTTTTATGTGTATAAAACTTTAAATCACCAAAAGAAAGCAAGTGAGGGAGAAGAGCAATTCATAAGAGGTTCAAACAGAACCAAGTATTTAATTAGGAACTCTACATACAGATGAATCAATAATTGCATTAAATGTTAATGGCCTAAACACTCATAATAGAGTCAAAGATGGTCAGAAAGTATTAAGAAGCAGTCCCTGCTGTATGCTGTCTACAAGGGACTCCCCAAATATGAAGATTCAAGAGGCTTGACAGTGAATGGATGGAAAGTTATACACCATACAAATAGTAAGCACGAGAAAACTGGAATGGCTATGTCGACAGAATAAAAGCAAAGAGTATGGGCAAGTGTAAAGAGGAACCTTTTATAACAGTAAACAGGGCAAGTTATCAGGAAGACTTAATAATCATAAGTGTGTATGTGCCTAACAATGCCACCTGAAAATACATGAGAAAAAATGGATGGAAATGAAGTGAGAAAGAGACAATGCCATGATTATAGCTGGAGATTTTAACATCCATGTTTTAGTAAATGAACGAACAACTAGACAAAAGGTCAGTAAAGACCATAAGCACCATAAACTATAATCACATAAAAAAATTTAGGTTTATTCACCGAGACAGACCATACACCAGTTTGTAAAACGAATCTCAATAAATTAGGACTAAAATCCTGCAGAGTATGCTTCTGATCAAACTGAATTAAATTAGTAGTCAAGTACAAGGGTCAGACACACAGCAGTTTCAGGTGATTCACTCTCTTTCATCATCACCATCAGTGGCTCCCAGGCCTTTTTGCATCAGCCCCAGGGGGATGATGAGGGAGGGAAGTCTGGGGGCCTCCTACTGAGTTATTGCTTCCTGGCATTGTGCTAGGTGTACTAGTTTGCTAGGGCTGCTGGAACTAAGTACAGCTAAGTGGCTCAAACAAGAGAAATGTGCGGTCTCAGTTCTGGCAGCTACAGGTCACAGTTCAAGCTTCTGGTGGTTTGCTGGCAATCCTGGTGTATACAAACATCAGCTTGATCTTTTCCTCCATCTTCATGTGTCATTATCTATGTATGTGTGTGACTTCTGCAAATTTCTCCTTTTTGTAAGGACATCAGACATATTGGGTTAGGGACCTACCCTGCTCCTGTATGACCTTGTTTTAACTAATTGCAACTGTAATGACCCTATTAACAAATAAGCCTACATTGTGAGGCACTGGAGGTTAGGGCTTCCCTGTGTGAGCTCTTGGGGAACACAATTTAACCCATAACATGAGTATTCCTTACCCAGTTCTCTCCGGGAGACCTCTGCTAATTTTTCCATCCTCTTCCAGAATCGGCCTTTGGCTGAGCTCACTTCACGTGTCCCTCGACGGTAGCCCCAGTGGCTGTATCCATAATCCTCCATTTGACTGTGCTTAGGACATCTCTGGTCCATGCTTAGTCCCTTCCTCTGTCTTTCAGTCACACCTCAGAGACTGTGGTTGCTTGCATCTGCCTGTTTTGTTTCTCTTTGGTTTATCCTTTCCCCAAATTCTCCTGATATCTTTTTCTGAATGGGCCGGTGGTCCCATTCAGCCATCACATCTATAATAGATACTGGTGGCTTGTCAACTGCTCCATGAACATGCATGAATACACGTGGGAGTCCTCACTCAAGGTGCTGTGGAGAGGGATCTGCTTATCCAGCTTTTTCTGAATCACCATGTTTCAAATACCCTGTTTCTCTGGCCTAACTTTTCTCTTGGCTCATCAGCTCCCCCACTCTGCTTCCATCCCTTGACTCTGCTGCTCAGATTAGTGAGCCAGAGGTGAATAAACAAACCACATGCTGGATTTCATCATGACCCTTTTATAGACTGTCCCAGGGACTACTGGTGGTTGATGTGGTGTTGTAAGTTCCGAGAAGGGAATTGCCCTTTTTCTCATCCTTGCCTGGCTGGGATTTGGTATTCTAGGTGCCGGACTGGTGCCTGGATCAACTGAAGTTTTCATCCTTGCCCAGGTAATCTAAATCTTGCTAACTACATTGGAATACAGGCTCGGGCTCCCCCACCAGGGAAGCCAATGTTAATCAGAGCTATGCTGCTTTGTGTTGCATTGTTGGGTCCTATTGAACTTCTGTTATAGATTTGGCTGGCCCGAGCTGAAAGTTCTACTAGTTAATTAGCATTTAGGGACAGGGCTATAGGGTTTGGGGCCTCCTCAATGTCACCTGGGGTCATTTGTCTTGCCCTGGACCTATTTGTGTTTCTTAGAATGAAGCTGTGACTCACACTGGGCTCAGGGCAAAGACTAGCCTGTGACCATCAGTTCTGTGTCCAAACAGACTTTGACCCCTCATCTGTGGAGCACTCGGAGGAAAGATCCTGTGCTGTATAATATATGGACCCATAGGGTGGCCCCTCATGAAAGGTCCTTCTTTAGGAAACTCAGAGGGTGGTGGAGACAAAGCAACTTCATTTAGCATGCCGAGGTCTGTACTCCTAGGAGCAGACTACTCACCAGGACCCATATATACTCCTGCTGCTTCAGTGGCTGTCCATGCCATGTTATGGCAGAATGTTCAAAATGAAACTACCACTTTGAATTAATACCTTAACTGTACCAAGGAGTGCAGTGAATGTTTTTCCTTATAACCATGGGGATCAGAAATTTGCAGCAGCAGAGGCATGGGCAGCAGCAGGAGCAGCAGCAGAGAAATACATGTATTAAGCTCCTGTTCAGCAGTCCACTCTCAGAAGTACAGATCTCAGTATCTGAAGTTGTTTCTCTGTCTGTTTCTCTCATTCTCACATGTTTAAACCTACATCACCCCTCAGAGAAGCACCCCCAAATCCACAGCACATATTTTCTCATTCCAATACCCTTAAATCTTTGGTTCCTCTTCTCCAGATCCCAAAATCCACAACTTTAGGTCCCTTCTCACTCTGAGACCCAAAATCACAAGCTTAGGGGCTCACACATACAAAAACTTCAGAACACTCCATTCTGCAATGTGTCTATTGTCCCCCCAAGTCAACAGCCATGGGCAGGCCCCTCACAAGGAGCCACAAATTCAGCCTTTGGCCCAATTCCTGTAAATCTCATTAATTGCCTCATAAGCTGCTGGCTGCATCCCAAGCTAGGCTGGGAGTCCAGGAGGGATTGTAATTGGGAGGTGATATGAGACAGTTACATAATCAGAACCAAAATCAACCTTTCTGTCCCAGGAGGTATAAAGGCAAACCATCCCAGCCATCACCATCTCACTGTCATTCTCAGTACCACCATGCTGCCCTCAGGGCTGCTCCTGGTGGCTTTGCTGGCCTGCCTCACTACAATGGTCTTGATGTCTGTCTGGCAGCAAAGGAAGTGCTGGGGAAAGCTCCCTCCTGGCCCACCCGCATTGCCTTTCATCGGGAACTACCTGCAGCTGAACACAGCACAGATGTACAACTCTCTCATGAAGGTGTCAGGAGGCAGGGAGATGGGTGGTAGGGTGGGGCTGGGGGCCTCTGCAGGCTGGCTGGGACTTGGTAGCAGGGGATTGGAAAGGGTGGACTGAACTCTTAGGAAGGGGACGTTCTGAAGGTTTAGTGTCAGGGTTCTAGCCAGGAAAGACCAGATCTTGGTATGTCCAGGCCCCTGACTGTCAGAACCTGGGCAAAATTTATGCCATTCTGTGAGGGCTGGGTACAGAGCCAGTTCAGACTTGAGGCTTCACACACTCACCACTTCTGCCCCCTCCTTCAGATCAGGGAGCGCTATGGTCCAGTGTTCACAGTCCACCTGGGCCCACGGGTGGTGGTAGTTCTGTGTGGCCAGGAGGCAGTGAAGGAGGCTCTGGTGGACCAGGCAGAGAAATTCAGTGGGCGAGGCGAGCAGGCCACCTTCGAATGGATATGCAAAGGCTACGGTGAGGGGAATCCTCTGTGGGGGAATGTGGTCAAGCAGACTTAGTGGCTTTAGTTTCCTCAGAATTCTTCTGCCAACTGACCCACCCACTCAGGGCTACGTCAGAACCCTTCCTCTCCATCTCTGTCTCCATCCCTGTTTATCCCTGTGATACCTCCAACTTGTCTTAGTGTGTCTGCATCTCCCTGCTTCTCTCTGCCCCATCTCCCAGTTCTCTCTCATTAAACTTCTCTCCTCTCTGTATGTCTTAGAAGCTCTTGGGATTTTTGCTTTGGAGGCCTGGTCCCATTATCTCCATGTTTCTTTTTATCTTATTCTCCTTCTCATTTTTTGTGCTTCTCCTTGTTTCTCTCTCCATCCCCCTGCCTCTCTTTCCTTTGTCTTAGAAGCTCACACTATTTCTCTTTCAAGTTCCTCATACCTCCATTTCTTGGTAATACTCTCTTTTCTCCACACTTTCTCTGTTTCTCCCTATATATTTTTTCACCGTTCTCTACCTCAGTTTTAGGATCCTTCTCAATTTTTACTTCCACCTCCCAGATCTCCAGATATCTCACTTTCCCTCCTTCCCTCCACTATCTCCCTCTCTTCATGTGCGTGTCTCTGAATCTCACTAGTTCTCTGGGCACCCATCTTTCACCTTTCCTTATCATTTCCGTACAACTTGGTCTCTCTTTTTGTATTTCTCCGTGTGTCATTCTCTCTCTCTCTCTCTCTCTCTCTCTCTCTCTCTCTCTCTCTCTCTCTCTCTTTCCCCCAGCCCCAACACTTTCAGGCCCTGCCCCCCTTTAAGCCCAGTCCCCACTCCTACCCTGCCTCCTCAGGCGTGGCTTTCAGCAACGGGGAGCGGGCCAAGCAGCTCCGGCATTTCTCCATCACCACGCTGCGGGACTTCGGAGTGGGCAAGCGGGGCATTGAAGAGCGAATCCAGGAGGAGGCAGGCTTCCTCCTTGAGGCCCTTCAGGCCACACGTGGTGAGCTGGAGACCCCAGGGTACTGAGGAGGAAAACACCCTACTGAGACAGGTTCTTTCTGACCTGGGAAGGGAACTGGGTTGGAGGAAGGTGTTCCTGGAATTCACAGACTGGTGGTATCACATCACTAAGTTTTCACTCTCCCAAATCTCTTTTCACTTACTGACCCCACACCTCTTCACAGGCGCCCTCATAGACCCCACCTTCTTCCTGAGCCGAACTGTCTCCAATGTCATCAGCTCCATTGTGTTTGGGGACCGCTTTGACTATGAGGACAAAGAGTTCCTGTCACTGCTGCACATGATGCTGGAAAGCTTCCAGTTCACAGCTACGTCTATGGGGCAGGTGAATGGTCCTGCCCTGGCTCAATGTGGACCCTACCACAACTAACCATCTACTCTCCCACATGGACTCAGGTGCCCCAAATCCTATCCTCCTATGGACACCATCCCCTCAAAACCAATCTTCTCCCTTGCACAAGTCAACCCAGGAGAGGTACCCTAAACCTGCTCTCTGATACCTCGATATCTCAGCTATACTTTCCCTACAGAAACGGGAAGGAAGGGAGGGAGGGTGGGAGCAAAGAAAGGACAGAAGGAGGGAAGGAAGGAGAAAAAGAGAGAGGGAAGGAGGGAAGAATTCTGGATATGGATCCCAACACAATTTACCTAAATTCTAGGACAAGGGACTTCACACTTAACTCACATGAAAATTAAGATATCTACTCCATCAAGCCCCATCTAAATGCCTAAACATCAGGACAGGTGCCTTTAAACCAGTGCCTCCCTTGCCCTGAGACAAGTCCTGCTCCTATTTGATGATGTCCGTCAACTCGTGTCCTTCCCTTACCTTCTCGTCTCCATGTCCCACCCTCAGCTATATGAAATGTTCCACTCAGTGATGAAACACCTGCCAGGGCCACAGCAACAGGCATTTAAGGCACTTCAGGGTCTGGAGGACTTTATAGCCAAGAAGGTGGAGCAGAACCAACGCACGCTGGATCCCAACACCCCACGGGACTTTATTGACTCCTTCCTCATCCGCATGCAGGAGGTACATGTCAGCAGTCAGTGGTGAGAGAGAAGTCACACAGGGGGTTGGGAGGGAAAGAAGCCCATTTATTTTTCCCACTACATCATAATAATCGTCACAACTCCAATGAGTTAACCATCACTGTTCTCTCTACTGAGCCCTTACCTATGGGCTGGAATTGCATGTGCAAATCATAAGCACAAGCACATCTATAACACTGTCATGCAACAGGCACTATTTTAATAACTTTATGGTTTTCACCTATTTAACAGTTGTGCCAGTTCTTGTAGAGGATCTAGTATGATCTTGGTTTTAGGAATGAGGAAACTGAGACCCAGAGAGTATAAGTGCCATGCCTGAGGTCACACAGTGAGGAAGCAGTGGAACCTAGCTCAAACCCTGGCCTCTCAAACTCTAAGGCCGGTGCTTTTGGCCACCATGCTCTTACCTTTCATCCCCTAGTTGTCAGGTAACCTGTATGGACAGGTGACCTGGCTTTACTATGTGACACCTGAAGGTCCCCACTCCCAGCTGGATGTCAGTCCCCTTTCTGTGAAGAAAGGAGACGGGGCTTTATGGAGTCTGAAGTTCAAGAAGAAAGGATCAGGGAGTGGATTCTCCATAGTAAGCTGCAAGGTTTTGGGGGAGGGAATACTGTACAGCTGCTGAAAAGTGTCTGTGTTTCAGAAAATATCTCTTCAACTCTCTCTGAGGCAATCTATCATGGTCTCTCTACCTCTCTTTCTCATTCACTGTCTGTCTCTACCCCTCCCTTTCTAAATATTTCTACAATTAAAAAGTGGCAACTAAGCTGGTAGCTAAAGGACAGATAGTCAGCTGGGCAAAGAGTGTGAGAAGAGCATTTGAGGCAGAACCAGTAGCCTGGAAAAAGGCCTGGCACAACTGGGGCCATTCTTACAACCTTTGGAATCTGAGAGCATCAGGGGAGTGGGCTAGGCCTGAAGCTTCCCCTCTCTGCAGGAACAGAAGAACCCCAACACAGAGTTCTACTTGAAGAACCTGGTGATGACCACACTTAACCTTTTCTTTGCTGGCACCGAGACGGTCAGCACAACTCTGCGATATGGCTTCCTCTTGCTCATGAAGCACCCAGATGTGGCAGGTAAAGCTGGAGGACACAAGGAAATGGAGGCCACAGATTCTGAAAATTCCTCTGAGCCCACTGTGCATCCTCACCTCTCAAACCCCTGGGCCCTCAAACACATCCTGGTAAACAAACACTAGGTCATGATATTCAGCTAAAACAATCTGAACTTATTAGTTAATTGCTCCTGTGCTGAGCCTACCAATCCCCAAGTCTCCTCCCTCATAGCTTCCCCCATAATTCTGGCAAAACCAGGTCATCAGGACCCAGTGCCAACAATGTCTCTGTACAACCTGTTTTGAATGCTTTCTCCATGTCACACATGAAGTCATACATGTCATATATCCAGTTGTACAGATTTGGATTATCATCCTGCCCAGAGAACCCTAGGTACCTAAACATATTCTCCCCTATCCCCCAGCCAAGGTCCATGAAGAGATTGACCAGGTGATTGGCAAGAACCGTCAGCCCAAGTTCAAAGACCGAGCCAAGATGCCCTACACAGAGGCAGTAATCCACGAGATCCAAAGATTCGGAGATGTGCTCCCCATGGGCCTGCCCCATAGAGTCACCAAGGACACCAAGTTTCGAAACTTCCTGCTCCCCAAGGTGCTGGCCTTACCCAGTTTACATGGACCTCAAACCTGATCCTTCTGACCCAACACCCCACTCTCCTTACAAGCTTTCCAGTGCCTGTCTGACTCCCTCAACTGCAGACTTCCTCAAGCACATGTCCCTTCAACTTTTCCACTTAGAGACAACTGAATCCCATGTGTACCTAAGACCTGTTGCCTTAGGTCTTAGGTACATATGAAGTCCATGTCCCCCAAATTCCATTTCTCAGGCGACATTAACTTCACTCCCCAGGCTTGCCTGCCTCTGGGACAAGACTCTCATGGCCCCCAAATATCCTGTCTTGAGAGACATGACCCCATGACCCCCAAATCCCCTGCCCCAGGAGACAGAGACCCCAGGATCCCTGAACTTTTGGTCACAGGGACATAAAAGTCATGTCCTCCAAAGCTCCTACCTCAGGAAAGACCCTGAATACCCTGCCTCCCATTTCTCCTCACCTACAGTACACAAATACCCCCTCTAACTCCATGAACTCTCAGCACACACATTCCCCCTCCCACTTATCAAATCCCCTTCCACCTCCCCACCAGGGCACCGAAGTGTTTCCAATGCTGGGCTCTGTGCTGAAGGACCCCAAGTTTTTCTCCAACCCTCTTGATTTCAACCCCCAGCACTTCCTAGATGAGAAGGGGCAGTTTAAGAAGAATGATGCGTTTGTGCCCTTCTCCATCGGTAAGAGTCCACTGTGTGATGCCAAGCCACCAGTCACACCAACAGGGGCCCCTTCATCCCAGTTCCCCTCTCTGAGGTGTAGCCTAGTATCTTCCTCAGCTTGGAAGTCCCTCTTATGATCTACCCTGTAGCCAACCAACTGCAAACCTCATAAATACCAAGTACCTAAGCCCAGGCAGAAAGAAAGGGATGATTGTACCCATTTCAGAGATGAGGAAAGTCAAGGCCCACAGTGACTCAGAGACTTACCCAAGGTCACTGAAATTCTTCAGAGTCCTAAGAAGGAGATAGCAGCACAGTGGCCATATTAGTGTGTTTCAGAGGAAGGGTCATGTAAATTCCCATTGCTACATCTTGATATGACTCACCCCCATCCCGCATTCAAGGGACACTGAGGCTGAGGGATGTTAGGGGCTTCTGTGAAGGTCTCTCAGGCCTCGACAGAACATCCCCTTCTCCCCAGGAGAATACATCAGGAATTGGGAGAGGAGTGGGCCTCACCTCCTCCCACTTGTCTTTTCAGGAAAGCGGTACTGTTTTGGAGAAGGCCTGGCTAGAATGGAGCTCTTCCTCTTCCTTACCACCATCATGCAGAACTTCTACTTTAAGTTCCAGCAGTCACCCCAAGATATTGATGTGTCCCCCAAACATGTGGGCTTTGCCACCATCCCACCAAACTACACCATGAGCTTCCTGCCCCGCTGAGCTAGAGCTGCCACTGTCCCTGACCAAATACCCAGGGCTAGTGGGAGGAGAAAACAGGTGAAGAGGGGTGGCCTGGGTGGGGCTAGCAGTAGGGGTCTAGCTAAGAATGGTCGGCAGAGGGCTGGAGGAAAGGAAGGTGGATAGGAGAGGAAGAAAAACTGGTGGGCTCTCTGTTCACCTTGCTAGAGATTGAGCCTTCAGAGCTGGGATGAAAGGAAGGAAAACCTTATACTATACCATGAATGATAATAATAACAATAGCAATTAGTTAATAAGCATGTAATCTGTGTCAGCTCTATGAACAAATCATTACCCACTCGAACCCCTTGATGCTCACAAACCTGTGAAACAGGAACTGTGCTTGTGCCCATATTATGGGAGATACAGCTGACATTCAGAAAGTCTCTGTCTGAGATCTGACAGAACACAATAAATGCTCAGCAAGTACTTGAACTCTGATCCACACAGGGAGGGCTGTCCTAAGCCAACCAAACTTTGGGTAGGTTCTTAAAAACAAGAAGGTCCTTATGTTTCAGAGTATTTACCTCCCACAGTTTTCAAGGGTCACACTAAGTAGAAGGAGCCTCCATAACACAGGTATGTCTTAAGAGCATTCTGAGGTAGGTCACTCCCATTGGATCAATTTAAATATCCTCTCAGAAAATTCTCCCTCCCATGGTATCTTCACCCACCCCCACCCAACTCATAAGCCATTCAACAAATTTAAGAGTCATTCCCAGTTTTCACTGAACCCTTTACTTTTGTCAGCCTGTGATAGGTGATGTTGAGGACATAGGGGTGACCAAGACAGTCCTGGGCCCTGACCTTATGCAGCTTTCACTCTAGAGGGGAGACAGACCAGTCACAAGGCAGTGACAGCTCAGAATGTATAGTCCTGGAATGAGAAGGCACAGGCAGAGAGGTCAGCTTGGGATAATGGAGCACAGACAAAAGGGTCAGTGCAAGGATCAGGGGCATAGGCAGCAGGCTCAAGGTGGGAAGGGAAGGCACAGGTAGAAGGCTCAGGGATTGGGTGGGGCACCTTAGCAGAGAAATCAAGGCAGAATAGTGGGACACAAAGAGATGGGTAAGGGCCAGGAAGGGGGACCCAGGGAACTGTAAAAGTCCAGAAATGGCACCTGGTCAACCTTGTAGGTTCAGGGTAAGCCTCTAAAGGGCCAACAAGGATTTTCAATGGAAGGATAGACAGTGTTGTGAGGGAGAGTTGCAGGCAATATGTAAGAGCCTCAAAGAGTAGGGTTGAGAGCTCTTAGAGTAGAGATCTGGGGCCCTGTTCACCCTTGAAACTGGAGCCATCAGCAGAAGTCAAACCCTATGGAGCCTTATGCAACTTGGTGGGGTGTTTGCATTCTGTCTAGAAGCAGTAGGAAGCCACAGAAGGGTTTTAAGCAGAGGAAAAAATGATCAGATTTGTGATTCAGAAAGGTTTATTAGATTTTTGGAGAAGCTGAGGCTATAAGCTGAGAGATGAGGAAGTGGAGGCTATAGGTAAGAGAGGAGATGAGGCCATGAGGATGGGGGAGGACCCAGTGAGTTGGAGAATGATGTAGAAGGAAAAATGAATTTTTACTTGGTTGTATGTTGGCTGTGTGGAGGCAAGGGGGAGAGGGTGGGATCCAATGTGGAGGATAGATGGAAATGTCATTTACTGTTTTGGAGACACAGATCAGGAGCAGGTTTGAGGCACATAATGACCTCAGCTTTGGACATGGTGAACTAGGCACAGTTCTTGTTCTTAGGGACTTCTTAGTGGAAGAGCAGACCTGAATAAATTAAAGTCTTCAAGGATATTATTAGTATTAATTAGTAATTATTAGTGATAATATACTACTTTGGGTTGAGGATTGGGAAGACCTTTTAGAAGGGGTGTTATTTGAATTGGGTCTTGTGGGAGGAGTTCACCAAGTAGGGGAAAAGAGGGAAGTCTAGGCACAGAGAGCCACAAGCCAAGTCTTGGACATGGGAGATGGAGGAAACAGAACAAACATATTTGACAGCTACATCCTGCCCCCTCCACCAACCTCACCAATCAACATTCTATCCTCTACTCTCCAGCCTGACTCAAAACTCTCAGGAAAAACTTGGCTCATGCTCAGAAGTGTGCCTGAAACTTATGACCCTCTTCCAAATGAGAATCTTTTTTATGGAAAATTCACGTAACATAAAAGTAAGCATTTTAAAGCAATTACTGTTCAGTTACCTTTAGAAAATTCATGGTGTTATGAAACTACCCTCTCTAACCAGTTCCAAAACATTTCCAAGTCAGGATCTTGGTGAGCTTTCTTGTTTTAAATGTAAATAATACTGCCACTGATGTCATTCATTGAGCATATTACGTAACTGTGTGAAGTTTTTATGAGTATAGTCCTATTAAACTCTTCACAACAAGTCTATGAGGTTGGTTTTATCATTCCCACTTGCAGTTGAGTTAAGTAATGGCCAAAGAGTGGGAAATAATTTGCTTTAGGTTGTACAGTCAAGGGTAGAGTCTGACATGTCCTTGTGTGACTCTGAATTTCATGCCCTTCACCCATACTATGGACTGCCAAGCCCTCCCTTTTTTCTTCATGGAATATAAGGAAACTGTCCCTGACATTCTCTTGTTCTTTAAAAGCTTCGCTATAAGCCTGACACAAAAGATTCTGAAATTTTTTTTAAATTCTCTTAATTGGAGGCAACGTTGACCTTCTACCATTTCTTCATTTCTTGGAACATCAACTGATGACCTGCGTAACCAATGCTACTGCCCAGGCCACTGGCAATGAGGTGGCGAATGAGCTGGGAGAACAAGGGATTAAAGAATTGTGGTCAGAGTGAAATGTTTGTCTTTGAGACTGCAGGGTTATTAGGATTATGGTGAGACTGTTGGAGTCTTGGCTCAAATGGAGTGAAGGAGAGGGCTAAAGAAGACAAGAAAGTCAAGGTACTTTCTAATTGTTTGGACAACTCATGTCCATGACTACTGAAGTGCTTCTTTCCCATGAAAATGGCAGGGCTTGGGGCTGGACAGAGGAAGTTTGGTAGATATCAGGAATGAAGGAGACAGACTTGAAGGAGAAAGGATTTTTGTATGAGGGCGGATGAGTCATACTCTGGAAGTGGTCTGAGGAGTTTCTGATTTGGTAATGATTGAGTAACTCCATTGATCAAGTATCCTAAAAATAACAGCCATAAACTTAGAATAAAATATTTTTTAAGAACCAATACCCTGAAATTACTGATGAATGAACAAAAGCAGGTAGATACTAAGGGGGTTGGAAGAATGGAATTTCCTGCTTATTATAGCTTTTGGCTTAAAGGTAGGCCTTGGACAGTGCCTTGGAGATGGCTAAAACCCAAGTGAAAACTTTGTGGTTTTGTGACTTGAAGAACCAGGGGACAGAATTCAGAGTGATTATAGCACCTGCTGGTAGTGGTGGTAGAATCTCAAAATTGAGAGAGCTGGGGTTGGGGGGTTGGGGTGTTGGGAGCCCTAAATTCTATGTATAAACTCTGTCCAAATTTCTTTTTCTTTTATTAGTTTCGATTTATTTATTTATTTATTTATTTATTTATTATTTATTTATTTATTTATTGTTGCTCAGGTACAGTTTTCTCCATTTCCCTCCACCATCCCTCTTACCCCATCCATGCCCACATTTCCCCCTTGATCCTATTGCCCTGTGGCTTTGTCTATGTGTCCTTTATACTGATAATTGAACTACCAATATGCTAGAAAACTCCACGGTGCCACATAAGGCCAAAAGAACTGAAATGAGATTTCAGAGTTGAGTATTTGAGCTTAATCAAGTTAACTGCTCCCTGAAACAAAACAAAACAAAACAAAACAAAACAAAACAAAAATCAATATTCTTCAAAAGAATATAACAAAATCCAGAGTCTCTATGAGGTGTCACTTGTAATATTCAGGATAAAATCCAAAATTTCTAGGAAAATGAAGATATAGGAAATATGACCATATTCAAGAGAGAAAAATAGTTGATGGCAACTGACCCTGGCATGACCCTAAGGTTGGAATTTAGCTGACAAGGTTTTAAAAGTACCTACTATGTCTATACTCAAGGATGTCAAAGTGATATTGAGGAGCAAGAGGTACTGACCCTAACTTCTGACCCTGAGGCCCATTTTTAATGGCTGAATGAGTAACCTTAATTAGAGAGAGGGTTAGGGAAAGCTGTGATGTTGAAAGGAGAGCTTATTCTGAGTAAGATTGGAAAATAAAGAGAAACTTGGATAAGTGGTTCATTTACTAAGCAAAGGCGAACAGAACATCTACTGTGTATGAGGCACAGTTCTAAGCACTGAGGATATAGGAGTCAACAAGACTATCCAGTCTCTACCCTATAGTTTACATTCTGAATGTGTCCAGGAATTTAGGCCAAAGACATTCTTCCCAGGAACCTACTTCCTACTTGGGAAGGGAGAATGGAAGCAGGAAAAAAATAAATAGCCAGCTAATAAAATGGCTATATTTATTACTGTAGTTAATGATTTATTGAATGTCATCTGCCAACTACTATGCTGAGTTGTGTACATGCACCACCTTGCTTAATTTTCCTAACAACTCTGTAGATATGCTATTATCTAAAGTTTCAAAATGAGGTCACCAACTAGGAAGCTGTAGAACCAAGACTGAAATCTAAGTTTGTTTACAAAGCTAAATCACTTAATCACTACATAATACTGTGGCCTACAAGGCAAGGTGTTGGAAATATTAAGAGGAAGAAGAACAGACTGGTTTGAATGAAATCAGTTCATATAAATCTCAATTTGCTAACAACACATTCACTTAACTTTAATCCTTATATAAACTGAAGAATTCATTTCTGAGAATGATCTTACCAAGCATGGCTTCAGGATCTACTATAAGGAGTTTGACATCATTTCTGGTATCTTTTGTACTTTGTCTACATTTGAGAATTTCAACAATTTCTTTCCTCCTCTTTTAAAAAATCATTTTATTATTGTTCAAGTACAGTTATCTGCATTTACCCCCAACCACTCCCCCCAACCCCAGCCATCTCCACCTCCCTCCCCTGATTCCACACCCCCTTTGGGTTTGTCCATGTGCCCTTTATAGTTGTTACTGAAAACCCTCCCCCCTTTCCCTCATTATCTCTCCACCTCCCCTCTGGTTACTGTCAGATTGTTCTTAATTTCCATGTCTCTGGTTACATTTTGCTTGTATGTTTGTTTTGTTGATTAGTTTCCACTTAAAGGTGAGAGCATATGCTATTTGTCTTTCACTGCCTGGCTTATTTCACTTAGCATAATGCTCTCCACTTCCATCTATGCTGTCACAAAGGGTAGGAGCTCCTTCTTTCTGCTGTGTGGTATTCCATTGTGTGAATGTACCATCGTTTTTTTGATCCATTCATTTACTGATGGGCACCTAGGTTGCTTCCAGCACTTGGCTATTGTAAATTGTGCTGTTATTAACATTGGGGTGCATAGGTTCTTGTAAACTGGTGTTTCAGAGCTCTTAGGATATAATCCTAGCAGTGGAATTACTGAGTCAAAGGCATTTCCATTTCTAGTTTTCTGAGAAATTCTATGCTGTTTTCCACAGTGGCTGCACCAGTCTGCATTCCCACCAACAGTGCACTAGGGTTCCCTTTTCTCCACATCCTCTCCAACACTTGTTGTTTGTTGATTTATTTATGATGGCCATTCTGACTAGTGTGAAGTGGTATCTCATTGTGGTTTTAATTTTCATCTCTCTGATGGCTAGTGATGCTGAGCATCTTTTCATATGTCCCTGGGCCCTCTGTATGTCCTCCTTGGATAAGTGTCTGTTCAAGTCCTTTCCCCATTAAAAAAAAATTATTTATTTATTTTTAGAGAGGGAAGTGAGGGAGATAGAGAGAGAGAGGGAGAGAAACATCAATGTGTGGTTGCTGGGGGTTATGGCCTGCAACCCAGTCATGTACCCTGGCTGGGAATCGAACCTGGGACACTTTGGTTCCCAGCCCACACTCAATCCACTGAGCTACACCAGCCAGGGCTTCTTTCCCCATTTTTAATTGGGTTGTTTGTCTTCCTGGAGTGGAGTCATGTGAATTCTTTATATATTTTGGAGATTAAGTCCTTGTTTGAGGCGTCATTGGCACATATATTTTCCATACAGTTGGTCCTCTTTTCATTGTAATGCTGTTTTCTTTAGCCATGTAGAAGCTTCTTATTTTGATGAGGTCCCATTTATCTATTCTTTCCTTCATGTCCCTTCCTTTAAGGGACATACTGGTGAAAATACTGCTGCATGGAGTATCTGAGATTTTCCTGCCAATGCTTTCCTCTTGGACTTTTATGGTATCACGTCTTATATTTACTCAATTTATAGATTCAATACAATACTGATGTGGATCCCAGCTTGTGGGGTCTACAGCATTATGGATGAGACAAGACAAATTCACATGGTCTACCAAGTCCTGAGGAGGAAAAGGGATGGCGCAGCTTCTCCCTCAAAAGGAGAAAAAGCCTCTGCCCTTGCCTTGACAAGCTTTTATTGCTTTTCTGGGCACATTACCTGATGGCCCTCATTTACTATGCACAGGCTCACTTTAGGTGGTTACCTTTTACAGAAAACAAAGGAGAGGATGCCACTAATCTCATCACAGAAGAAGGATATTTGCAAATGCAAAGGAAAAAGTGGTTGAACTGGTTACACTCATCCTTGGAAGGTATAGCATGGATTTTAGGAAGTTACTTTAAAGATATGCAGTAAACGTTTGCTGCCTCATTTCAGGGTGAGGGAGTGTTATCAAAAGCAAGTCTCATAGCACTCTGGG